GTTTGTGGGGGGGCCCGCCGCCCCCATCTCCAAGCCCCTCTTCAGCTTCTTCTTCTGGATCGGCTACTGCAACAGCAGCCTCAACCCCCTCATCTACACCCTCTTCAACCGGGACTTCCGCGCCGCCTTCCGCCAGCTCCTCGCCGTCCCCCGTCGGCAGCGCACCTAGGGCCCAGCTGGGACATCGGGGACACCACCCCAGTCCCACTCACCGCTGGCAATGCCCAGCCCCACCGCAGACCCCGGACTGCAGTGTTGGTGTGCATCTCAAGGTACTTTTGGAAACGCGGGGTTGAATAAAACGAGGCCAAAGCCTGTGCCTGGGGCTGGCGTCTGCCTCCTGGGAGCCCAGCAAGCGGCACCCATTGCTGGCACCCGTTGTCACCTGGGTCACCCCACCTTGCAGCTTGGGTGACCCGTTGGTGGTGACAACTCACTGTGGCAGTTCTGGAGAGCACCAGTGCTCCCCGCTGCCAGGTGAACCTTGGCTCCTCTACATGCCTGTGACCCTGTGACCCCCACCATCCCCTTGCGCAGGGGACAGACCCCACAGCTGCTGCAGGGGGGACAAAATCCCCCATGTTGGCAGCATCACTGGCACCGGGCTGAGCTGACCGTGCCACCACAGCAGCCCAGTCTGCACCCTGAGCCTCTCTGCCAGGGCTGTCCTCTCTGGCTGCCCATCAGCATGTAGCTGTGTCACGCCATGGGGGCTCCGTCGGGGCACATACGTACCCCACAGTGGGGTACGAGGGGTGCATGGCTAGGGTGGGACACCCCACATGCTGCTCAGGGGCTTCAGGGGTATCTTGCTATGGCAGGGAAAGGAGGAATGACATTCTGGTGGCAGAAAGGCTGTCCTCCCTGGGAGGGAGATGGGAGTGGGAGATGGGGCTGGCTGGGAACAAGCTCTGGCACAGCCCGAGGTGCGAGCGGCCACGGAGGGCAACTGTGGGGCGAAGACCTGGGGACAACCACATTGCCCCGGGGGCAGCAACCGCCCCGCACCCACCCTGCCCGGCTCCCAACCCGGCTCCATACAGACACCCGGGGGTCAGGGGCCGCTCCACTTCTCCAGCTTTGCGGCTCAAAATAGAAAATCTCAAAACATCGGACTTTCACTCAGCTAAAAACAGCCGCCGGCGCCTGGGAGCTGGAGCCCAAGGAACGCCAGCCCCCGCCAGCCCCCACCAGCCTCTGCCGGGGTGGGCACAGCACAGCCACGGGGTTCGGGGGACTGACAGGGACAGGGGTACTCACAGCAGTAAGGACCCCTGGGCCATCCCCTGCGCCCACTGGACCTGTGCACAGAGCATCATGGCATGAGCTCTGGGATCAGCAGAGGCTCCCAGCAGGGATCGTGCTGGGACGGGGGCCCGGTGCTGACCCCCCGGAGGCAGCTAGCTCCAGCAGTTGGAGCCACGTTGGCACCATCTACGGAAGGAGCTGCCCTATCGCTGCCGCCTGGCTTCCCCTCCCATAGCCGCCTTTCACTTTTTCACAATTAAACAGCACTTTGCTTCTAAAAATACCCAGGGAGATGAGGGCGCCTGACGGGGACTCGGCCAGGGGAGATGAGCTCTCCCCAAGGGCCACCAGCCCCGCAGTGCCCAGGCTCATGCACTCTGTCTTCACCCTTGCCTGGGACCGCAGGGGCTGCCCAGGGGACAAGGCACTGTCCCTCCTCCAGGGCACGAGTGCATGGCTCCAGGGTGCTGCAGGGCAGGAAGGGCCAGGG